ACAAGCTGATTTTGAATCCATTCATCATGAACAGACCATAACGTCTAATATATTAGTCTCAATTCAGAAGAGTGCGTCTACATTATTCACAAAAGAAGCCTTTTCAAATTCAGAGATGAGGTTGAAAAGTCTGGAGCTTGTAAAAGGATGGATTCAGAGGTATCGGAAAACCAGCGCATTTACAGAGTGACAATGTCAGGCAAACATAAGGTTTTTCAGGTCACATACACAATTGAGCCCTTTGCTATGGAGTGTAGTTGTAACTATTGTAACTATTACAATTATGTGTTAATAACATGCTCTCATATGGTTCATCTACTAAAAGAAGAGGGTATGCTGGAACTTCCAGAACTGTTAGTAAAGTTAAGGTGGTCAAAGAAGTCAAAGACACTTGATAGCTTACAAAAACCACACAATATGGACGAGGCTAGACTATTCACATTCAGGTTTGTAGTTACTCTATAAAGCTACTAATTGTGTGTTTAAGAAAGCAACCTCGATTAGGTGTTTTTTAAATTCTAAGGTGGTACCAGAGGGCATTGTCTCGTTTTAGAACATAAGCTTTCACTTTTTTTGTTATGTTTTAATAGAATAATAATGATGGCGATTTTTAGGTATGAGCTTCTTCAACAAAGCAGCTCCCCATTATGGTTAAAAGGGGCAAAATCAAGTGATAGCTTCAAGCTTGCTCATACAGGAATTGCATCCCTATGTGAATCGCTAGACATGATGAACCAAGGTGATACTGAGATCCCATATATCAATAGGCCAAAGGCAAAAGAGAAACTTTTGGATCCACATCCGGTAAAATTCAAAGGTTCGGGCAGTCAAGAAAACAAAAGGAAGAAAAGGGAGCCACATATGTGTAGCAGATATGGCGTATTGGGTCATAAAAAAGCATTTGTAAACAACCTGAGGGGTATGTGAGTCCTAAAATACCACAACCTACCGATACTGTTACTAATGACGGAGCTGCTGGTGACAAAGCACCCAATAATGAAGAACCAAATAATGATAACATCGCCAACAACAGAGCTGCCAGCAAGCAACACAAACTGTCAGAAAACCAAAACATAATGCCAAAACTTGCCCGGAGTTATCAAAGGAGGATATTGATGAGGATGTTGATACAACTGACATCCCCGATCAACCAAATGTGATATTACAAGTTCATTGTGCATGTCTATAGAACTTTTTCGAAAAAATTATTTTCGTTGGAACTAAACTTTGTATATTTAATGTCGCAGAAGAAGCCATGTACTAGAAGGGAAGGCCTAGGGAGCAGCAAGAAGGCTACTTGAAAAGGTTGGCATGCATTCTAAAAGCAGGAGACCCGTTTCGTATTATTTATGGTCATTGGTTTTGTACTCTATGGACGAGTTAGGATATTTGATTTTAGGAATTTATGATGTTTTGTTGGGTACTTTTTGATACTTACTGGTCCTGATTATTCTTGTTTTTAGTTCATTATACTACTTTCCCAATCAACAATGTCAGACTACTACAACAAGCAAAGTTATCTGTCATACAGTACTTACTGAGTAAGACCTAGCAAATCAAGAAAGGGTATACTTGAAACTGGCGTGCATAAGCAGAGTGGCTCATCTGTCCTCTTCTTGGAAAACCCATGCACACACATTTCTCCCCTTCTTCATACTTTGTGCGTCTACATATGTAGCACATGTTCATTCATCCACCAGCATAATAAGTTAAAGTGCTCTTAGAATATAAGCAACAGTAGAATGGTAAACAAGAAGAGGGAAGCAAATAAGGAAAATGGAGCTTGCTATCTCTTTTGCTTTTCGACTTTACAAAACCCTTTGACAAAACCCTAAGTGTCATGTTTCTAGTTTAAGAAGAGAATTCAGATTAAATATGTCCACTGCTGCACACCCTCTTACCATCAAGGTCAAACTCTAAACACTTAGATTCCATGAGCAGCTGCTACAGTGACCGATTAAATAGCCTCAGACTATCCTTGTAACAAGGGACAAACATGTCCTACAGAGTCATTTAACGAGAAGAAATTAAAGCGAGTTTTTGATGGATGGTTCAAATTATGAAGAAACTCTAGAGGGAGTTAGATTATGCTTGAGAATAATACCTTGGATCCTACGCCATCCGAGGCCCAATACCATCATAAAGCTAGTAGAACTGCTAGGTTATTCTTAATCTGGGAAGAAGAAATAATCAATGAGCATTGGGTTATTTCTAAATATGAACCACAAAGAACAGCAAACAATTAAGCTAGCCACCCACCAACCCAGTCAAACATATTAAACCTAGCCAGCCACCCTTCGATTCTAGGGTCATGGGAACACCCTGCAACACAATATCAACCGGCTACTATGAAAAAAATGCACATACACAGGACAATCCCAAATATAATTATCTTAGCAAAAACATCATAATCCCTAAGCAGAAGGACGAACCTAAGGTCAAAACCGAGCGCAGAGCAAAGCATGTCGCCGAGAAGGGATCCCAAACCACTCTAGATACTTTGATCACAATCTGAACAGCTTGCCAATGGAAATTAAATGAGGCGAGAAAAAAACATCATCGAGGCTATAATCAAATCAAGAGAGGAGACGGAAATAATTGAATGGACTGATTGATTCCTTGGATCTTATTACAATCCAACTCGATGGAGAATTGCGGACCAGAGAATTTCACTCCGCGTTGGTGCAAGGCGATTCACTCAATAGTCCAAATCAGTGATAGAGCAACACAAATGAGAGAAATGACAGAGAATTTAGAACATACCTACATCAAGACTCGCATGCAACATCACCATCGATGGGAAGAGAATCCATAACTAAAATCGACAAACCGACCTTCGACTGAGATTTCAATATCTGATTATGAGAAGTAGAAGGAACGAATTGACGATAGTGGGAAGGGTTTGGTTCCACTCCGGTTGACGAACAAGCAACGAGTAAGAGCAAGAACGAAACGAAGAGAAGGCAAATAGAAAGGTAAAGTTGGGTTGCCGATGTTTTTACTTTTCATAGGGTGGAAAACTAAAATCGATAAGGAGGGAAATCTAAAAATGAAAAAGTGGATCCAAATGTTTCCCTCCTGCACCTTTTTTAATTTCTTTTTCCTTTTTCATACGGTGGGAAATTAAAATGGGAAAGGAGGGAAATAAACTTTAAAAAAAGGCTCTAAGTTTTACCCTAATTACTAAGGGGTCGTTTGGTTCGTGGAGTTGGATAAAAATAACAAGTTCACTCTTGAGGTAAAAGCGTAAACATTAACAAATTGATAAATCGAGAAATTGATAAGTATTTACAATCCAAACTAGTAATCCGATATGTCACTTTTTAATATATTCATACAATAAATCATCATGAATTCATCAATAATTTTGCTTGTAAGTATGTCCTACGTGAAGGTTTGCCAGTTACTTTTGGTTATAAAGGTGAAGTGAAAAGTAAATAGAAACTGATAAACCGAGAAATTGATAATCAAAGGTGAAACAAATATTTAAATATGTTAATAAAAGTTTCACACAGTCAACATAATCCCAAAGTAGACATAAAGAAGAGTGTTCCAAAACAACATTAAAAAATGGTCTTACATCAAAAACTGGGATTAGCTACTAAACACTAGACCGTATAAACCCGAACCGTTTGAGATCGGGACCGGATGTAAAACAAGCCAATCCGATATTTGGTCCTAGTCATAACTTAAAACCCGGATCAATCCGGTTTTTTGCAATCATTCCTTCCTATTGATAAATATTTATATTTAGGCACCTTCATATTTAATTTTCAAGTTTGCTCTTTGTTATGAATCACGAAAACAAATTTTTGATTGTTTGTGGCATGCAGGGTAGTAGGAAGCATGTACCCGGGTCAAAACTGGGTTGGGACCGAGACCAAATATGACCGGATAACCTGGTAAAAACCGAACTATATCTAATCCCGTCTTTGAGATCAAGGTTAAATATTAAAGTCTTTCTACCCGTCCTCTAGTCAATTTACCCCAACTTCAATTGCATCATTTCTCAATTGCTCCTTCCAAACGATCCTAGCACTAATGGTGGCCATAAAAAATACGATAGATATTCATGGTCTCCCCACAGTGAAGAACAACGCGTAGACTCTTTCCATTTACACCATAAACGTGACATTTTACACATTCACAGACATAAAAACACATCAAATATACAGAAGAACGGTTGTCTTCTTTGGCTATTCAGATAAGAGGATTACACAAACTTTCAAGCAAATCTTTCTAAACTTGACCCTTTCATGTTGGATGCTCTCGCTTCTCATTGCCCTCCTTCGGTAACCCGCAATTAAAACACAAGCAAGAGTAATTAGTGGCTCGATTATTATTATTTACTTTAAAGCTTATAAGAAGGGTTGTCAATCCAAAGAGAAAAGGAATGGGTAATGTTATTAGGGAGATGAATCTCCTTATGGTAAGTGCAAAAGATCATTGGAGGTAGAAATTGTTAAAACTTAAAAGAGAAATTTTTTTTGGTTGATTTGTTTCTTATATCGACGAAAAAAAAATTTGGACGAAAAAGAGATTAGAGAAAAAAAAAATGATACCGAATGTTATAGATAAGGAAATGTATATGGGTCGTGATTCATCATTTGTAGGTGGACGGAGTTGGAGAATTTTACTCTAGCTCATGTTCATCGTCTTATAATCACAATTACGAGTAACAACTGCAGTATCATCGTTCGCACTTAAATGATATTTGAAAAGAAACACTTCATTTCATTTAACGATTATGTATCGACTTCCACTGTGTATGTTGCTCAATTTAGTCGTTATATGAAGGGACCTTGAGATCTTCTTCCTCGCCAATGAAAATCTAGACTAGCTCTTCGATACATAAAGTATCGACTTCATTTCATTTAACGATACATAAAGTATCGACATCCATTGTTTATGTTGCTCAATTTAGTCGTTATATGAAGGGACCTTGAGATCTTCTTCCTCGCCAATGAAAATCTAGACTAGCTCTTCGATAAGTATAGAAAGATGCAAGCAATAATTAATTAAGAAGTGCAGAACCCGTGCAAAATACCATTGTGTTCACACATTTAGTATGCTTGAATAACAAGAGAAATGACATTGAGGTGGACATTAAGCAACTTTAGAGATTCTATTGGCATTGCTACAATGGTATTCAGTTTCCCCGAGGAAGGAATAATTTTACCAATAACAGTTCAAAACAATTCGACACGTTGTTCCAAGGACCCAATGTGACCATAAGCTCATGAGAGTTTCCACCAATCAATTTGAGAAGGGTAGCGAGTCGGAATCCGCAATATCTTCATGACTTGCTAAATCTTCAACGATTTTGCGTAAGTTTGTCGATGGGAAAACAACCTCAACATCAACATAGTCATCCGCAATAGCTACGTGGATCAAATGGACTCTGGATGCAGCAGACCAAGATATCCTCAACTCGGTGACACTTCCGGAGAAGAGGTAAGAAGTGCCCTAGTGTCAATAAAAAAATGAATTTTCAAAAAAAATTAACAAACACAATAATTGCAAAAGAGATGGAGAAGGATGAGTGACAAAAAAATTATTTTAACAACCTCGTCGTCACCATTCTCTTAAAACAATATAAGATCAATTGTATCAGTAAACTCAAGCATAGCTACGACATCCTCATACGTTAGATTTGCAAAGAAACCAGGCTCAACCATAAAATCCCTATAAATAAAATCGTTAGTAATGGCCGACAATAGGAAAAGGAAGTGGATTATACTCTGGTAATGATTAATTGTACAAACAATACTTACGCGTACCTCGCCTTCACCTCTCTCCCTCACTTTCTCGTGCCTTTTGTCCTAGCGACTTTTTGTCGCTCTTCTTCCCACGACGCCTCGAGAGAATTAGTGGCGATGGTGGCAGACGACGATGATGGCCCGGCGGTGGAGACCGGGACTCAACGGCCAGCGATGGATTGAGTGGCGGAGGCGAAGACGTGCATGCAAGGGAGGCGGAGTCGTGCATGCAAGGGAGGCGGAGGGCGGTGGAGTTTTCGTTGGAAGGGGGAAAAGAAGGGAGATGAATCGTTTGCTTGATTTGGTAGTTTTCACCTTTATTTACAATAAAGGATCTGTATTGGTGGACGAAAAAACCTAATTGAATAAAAAATGGATGTGTCGCCTATGCCTATCAGCTAAGTGCCCTATTGGGTCTGGTATAAAAGGCCTACTATGTTGTACATTCCTGATTAAAAATATTTAACGTCCTGCTCACCGCAAATTGAAATGGGCCTGGATTGGTTCATCATTTCGAATAAAGCCCATTAACTGAAGGTTACATCTTCCCCCGGTGATACAATTTATTACTTTATTTTATACTTCTAGGAGGAAGAGCGAAGAGCAGGAAAAGAGAAAAGGAAAGATGGGTTACCGAGTTTAGCATTTTTCTATGTGTGGAAAACTAAAATCGGGGAGGGAAATTTCATTCTAAAACTGAAAAATGCTGTAAGTTTCCCTCCCACACTTTTCGGCTTATTTTCATATGACAGGCAACTAAAATAGGGAATTAGGGAAATTTTTAACTTTAAAAATATTGGCCAATTTGCCAGTTTCCCTCCTATAACGTGTTTAATAGCAACGGTCAAAGGGTTATTTGGGCAACAAATGCTTGCATTTTTAATGGCCAAAAAATTGTCTCACCTTTTTTTAACCAATTGTTCAACTTATTTGGACAACAAATGATCCTGAATTGAGAGTGAACTACATAACTAGGGTCTCAAAACAACCTTCTTGACACTAGTGTTGACCATGCTTTGACTAGGAATCAACGACGAGTGCTAATATCCTCCAAGTAAAAAGATTATGTTACTTTCGTTGCCTAGCGAAATTCACTTCTCATCTGGAATGACAAATTTGAATTATTACACATTATAGGATCTTCTCTGACAAAATTCCAATAAGCTCTTCCTTGATCTACCATAACCTCATCGTTAATTGGCCATAGGTATTGATGATAGTGCCGGATACAAATATATTATAAGGAACAAGACATTCTAGCTCAACCGACTAAAGCAAAGTTCATAGTCTCAATTTTGACTATAATGTTGTATACTATGTTACATGCATCTTAGTATAGGAAATCGTTTACCCTACTAAATTTTTAAATCAACACAACATCTCTTTGACAATAACAACCAATCCATTTTACACGCATTAGTGTGGAGTCATGATATTGAACCATTCCAAAGATGGAGCTTTGACGTTTAGAAGTTTGTCTGTGTGCATGAACTCTTGTAAGTCTACTTTGAATAAACACTCCACGATGAGACACAATCAAGAAGTTGTAACTGAGTACAGTACTATTTTACTTTTTCAAACTTAGCTATTACATTGTGCTACGAATGCCCCTTCACGTGGTTTAGCAAAGGTTCGTTTTGGGGATGTACTAGTCCTTTGTACTAGTTTTGGGTTAAGGCAAAGTTGCAACGTGGAGGTGGGCACAACGATGGTGTGTGACAAAAATGACATGTCCTGTAGAATTACTATTTATGAATAGTTGGAAAATAAAATTCTAAATAGAAATATGATAAATTTTAAAAAAACTTAATTAGCAAGGAGAGGGCAATCAACCCTGAACAGTGATTTCAAAGAAGAAACAGAAAACTTTAGAAAATAGATGTGGAAAGGGTAATAATTAGCAAAAAAGTGACTATAATGTTGAACCTAGCTTTAGAACCCTACACCTTATTTGATGATAAACACCTACCTTAACCACTAGACTGCCAAAGTTTCTTGCATTTATAGTCAGTTTTGTTTATGGTATGAAGTGAGATGATTTTATCAAAGGATTTAAAAACAATGAAAGCAAATTGCCTCAATCGAACTATGATCCTATTTATTTATTCTGAGGCAAATGTATCCAACACTTACCATTTGACCTATGCGCAGATCATTAATCATTTTAGCCATAGTTACAACCAAGGTTCTAAAAGGCGCTAGGCGTAAGGCAGACGCTCGGCTTCTGACTTGCGCCTTGCCCGATTAGGCGTAGCCTAGGCGCGCCTAGGCGTTCAGAGCATAAATGGAAAAATTCTCAAATATTTCCTGTTTTCTGGAATAATTCATATAATCCAAGTGCATATAAAATTAGCAATGCCTAGTTCTTAACAGTAAACACTTAACATAACAAATAACAAGCAAATAGTGACCAATCATCGAGGCAAGAAGCTTGTGCTACGTACCGAGGAGAAGGAATGAGCAGCAATTGACGAGTTTCGACTTTATTTCCCACTATAGCAGCGGAGCGGTGTGAAGGCGAGAAGAGTGATCAATGATTTTCTCCTGCGGTTACAGAGAGCATCAAATGGGGCGAGAGCTAGGGCGGCAGGCGGTAGCAGATGGGGCGAGAGCTAGGGCGGCAACAAATGTTACTTCCCGTGTTTCTGATTTTCTAGGGCAAGAAGCAAGTTTCTGATTTTCTAGGACAAAACGGAGAGTATTGGGTTTAACCGCCTAAGCTCGCCCAGGAACGCCCAGGCACGCCTTCTCTCCACTAGGCGCAAACTAAGCGCTATTCCTACCTACTAAGCGCTACCAGCGCCTTTTACAACGCCTATGGCCGAGTCAAGGCGATCCTCTACCGCCTAGCGCCTAATTGAGCCTAGGCGTGCGCCTAGGCGCGCCTTCTTGAACCCTGGTTACAACCGAAAGGGATTAGTGCAGACCTAAAGGTTCTAACTTCATTAAGATGAAATCGACTTGATGCACCTACTGTCCCTTAAGCTTATGAGCTTACTAGCCCATAAGCAAACTCTCTCTTCCACTCACTAGTTATACCCGACCCACTTGTTTTATGTTAAGCAAAATAAACGCAGAGTTTTGATGCAAACACCCACCCCTATCAAGTTTCGGATCAAAGGACTTGTCTGTAATGTCCAACCCAAGAACATAGTAATAAAACCTACAAGACTAAACCCAAAAAATATAACATTCTTTTGCTTAATACAAATACATCATATAGAAAATACAAGAACATTGTCTTAACTGGAAAAAAACATTCACTCCACAAATACTAATGATCTGCTACTCGTATTCTCTATAATGGAAGCAGTACAGAGCTCCTATCGGCTACTTCTTTTCAATCTTATTTTACCAGGTTGGTGAGGTAAAAAATTGATGCGAATTGCAACAGAATGGCTCTTGGTAGGATGTACCTGATGCAAATTAAGTAGATGTCCATAACAGCATGCAACGTGGTCCCTATTATTGATGTTGAGGGGATGACATAGCTAGTTGTAAAGCAAATATGCGCGATAAACAAAATTCGCAGAACTTGACCTAGGAGGATTTGACATCATCAGTGATAGAACATGTAAATATCTTTCTGGATGAAAAAAAATATACAAATGACTTACTAGTTTCACAATAATTAACACTACGTCACATATAAGAATTCATTTCGGCTATCAAAATTATGTTGTTCAAACTTGGGTTGGTGTGGCTTCTAGGACAATGCCAAACATTGGCATCGAACATGAGGTTCCAAACTTAAGAATTCGAACAAATTTGCCAACCAAATTGAACCATTTATTGAGACTGTCGAGAGTAATAAACCTCCTACGCCATCTGTATATTTTTCCTCCATTAGACCTTGACAAATTATACTCGTCAACTACAACTCTAGTACATGGTTCAAATTGCAACAAAGTTTGTTAATAACACATATTCATAATGCAAATACATAGCTAGCCACAATAACAAAGAAGATATTGCATGTTATTATGGAAATAATCAGTCCATGCTTAGTACTAAGTAGTACCTTTGGAGGATTCAGCTCAGCAGTTTGGGAATGTTTTATTCGTAGCCACACCAACACTTGATATTCCCTAAGTGCAGATTAGTGAAGGCAGAAAAACAAAGAAAGATTAGTGAAGGCAGAAAAATCGATCACCAAAATTCGATGAAAATGGATTGAATGCAAGGATTTTACCTTGACCAAAATTGTTCATGCTTACAATAAGCATAGAGGATCTTGATCAATCTATTCGATTTTTTTCTCGAATGTCGGAAAATATCCACTAGTAAAAAACCAGTCACACAGGCAGTTTATTTTAACTTATAAGGTATTCAAAGACAACATAGATCCTAAGGTCAGCATATGCAATTTAGTTTAAGAACTAGAATACAACCAAGTAGTTCTCTTAAATCATGCCTTACTAAACAAGTTCACAACTAATTAACCAAATACATCAGTAACTAGAAGCTTAAAAAGAACTAATAGATGAATTCGCACATAGCACACAACATTAACAAATAACAACATTCAACCAAACTTCTAAAGCTTGTCAATAAGTAGCATCATCATTCGTCAAGTTGTCAAGGCTCATCAGATTAGATTTATGATAGCAAGTCCTAACACTCGTTCAACTTCAGGAAGCTAAGACGACCATCCTTAAAATGCC